CTCTTCAATTCTTATAAGCCTTGTGCAGGAAATAGAAAAGTGCGAATTGCTGATGGCACTTTTTCTACAATAGCAGGAGTTGGTGATATAAAGATATCATCGGACTTCATTCTTTCTAATGTCCTACATGTTCCAAAACTCTCTTGTAATCTCATCTCTGTTCATAAACTCGCGGCTGACCTCAATTGTCGTGCTTTGTTCTCTCCTTCAATTTGCATTTTTCAGGACCTGGACTCGGGGAGTAGGAATGGCAACGGGCCGGTTATTGGTATCCCCGTCCCTGAACCCGATAACTAAAACCGTCCCCATAACCGCCCTGATCCTCGTCGGGGATCTTATCGGGGATGCCCAACGGGTCCTCGCGGTTTCCCCAATTCCCGTTGGGGAACCCGTTAAGGGTAAAAATCCTCTTTTTCCCGTTCACCGTTGGTTATAAAACGAACCCGAACCTGAAACCGATCTAAAAGAAATTACACAATGTTGATTTTCACAAATTAAAAGTAAATTACAATTTTTTAAAGATGTAAGTTTAAATGTCTCAAACATAATCGAACCAATTACAAACAATGTATTATATTACAATATAATGATTTCACGATTAGACAAATAAACTAGACTTTTTCGTGAGCTTTATTTGGGTTGTTGAGGTAAAGTGGATAAAAGTCTTAAATTTTAATATTAAATTCTTTTAATGATATTATATATATATGTATGTATGTATGTATGTATATAAATTAAAATTAATATATATACACATATCGGGCCGGTCCGGGCTGATCACCGTCCCCATCCCCGTTAAAATCCCCGAATTTGTCCCCGATCCCCGCCCCGTCCCCGATATGATGTCCCTGAACCCGACCGAAAGTTTCGGTTTTCACCATCAGTTTCGAGTTTTTTTTTCCATCCCTATCGGGGAGGATGATTGGACGTGCTGATGAATGTGGTGGACTCTACATACTAGATGAGGGGAGTCCACTCTAATAAGAAGACTTCTTGCTTCTTCACCGCATCTGATTTGAGTAATAATGAGATTTATGGCACTTTAGGCTTGGACATCCAAGTTTCTTTTATTTAAAACATTTGTTTCCAATGTTATTTGGTAATAAAAATCCCTCATCCTTGCAATGTGAGATTTGTGCGTTAGCAAAACTACACAAAATTACATATCTATGCTGTTAAAATCGCGATATATCGGATATCGGACTCTGGAAAAATATCGGTCAAAATATCGGTTTCGATAATATTGCCGATATTTACCGATATTTCATCGATATTTTGATGAAAAAATCGGTCCAATATACCGATTTTCTATAAGACAAATGTTTGGGCTTTTTTTATTACATGTTGGGATTAGTTTTTTGGGCTTCTTTATTTGGTCAACCAGTCAACACATATATTAAGTCTCACGCTTCTTCTCTTCTCGGTTCTTCACAGTTCATGCTTCTTCTCTTCTCGGTTCTTTCACAGTTCA